AGATTGAGATATTTTCCCCCTTCAAGGTTTCTATGATTTTATAGTTCTTTTATTTGTGACATATGAAAAATCTTGCAAAACCCTTGTTTGCACTGAAGTTTAAAGTTTCCAAATAGCTTCATTTTGGTTCCCAAAATTGCCACAGAATAGCTTACAAAATCAATTCACGTTCAACTGCACTTAACAGCTGATACAGGTGATCATTTCATTAGGGAATTAATGAATTTATTATTGGAAAAAGGTGCCTTCCTTACGTCACATCAAACATTCTCCAACATTTTTTCATCGAACTTGATCAGGTGTCATATTCCTATCTGATTGATCAAATGTGTGTATGAAATCATGAGATTTCCATTGAGTGTTTCGCTGTCTAGTCTTCTGGTGGCAATAAAGACAATGAGAGTCCCACGGCAATACTGAGAAAAAAAGAATGGTGAAAAACTCAGAGCAAGGTAATTCCTTATTTTCCCTTTTTCCTTTTTTAAAAAACTTCAAGACGTGACATGAAAACAAACGTACTTTTATGAAATTACAAGTTTTACACCCAATGGACATCTTTTAGGAGGGTTTTTTTTTTCTCTTGTGGTCAGTTTGACCAGTGATCTACCTCATGGTTCTGCTGGAGTCTGCTGGTGTTGTGGGGTTTGCAGGTAAAGCCCCCTTTTCACCTGAGTGGACAAAGCAAAACTAAAGCCACGCTCAGGAGCTGGCTAAATAGGACTTCTGCCGTTTGTCTCCCACATGCAGCGTTTCTCTTCCTGATCTGCAAAGAAGCATTGTGCTTTGCTTCATCTTTATTTGTCATTGCTTCTGTTTTGGTGTTTGTTTTTCTCAACATGATGAGTGTTGTTCAGTTGTGAGGCTCCATTTTAGAGATTCAAAGTTAGACAACTAGTTTCTCCTTAAAATAGATGGTTTACAATGTGTTTGAAACAAATGAATGCATTTACTTGGTGCATTTCTCTGCCTTTGCCATTCTAGACAGAGTTTAGATGACTCACCACTTTCCCTTGCCTTTTCTCTTTTTCCTCTAAAAAAAAGACTAAAAGTCGCTCTCTTGGGTTACACTGCTACTGTAAAGCTCTCCAAAAAAAAAAAGAAAAAAGAAAACGGTTACACAGCAGCTTGATGTGTACATGCCAAACAATTTGGATGAGTGGAAAGTAAGAAAATCTTGCCTCATGCTAAATAAATGCAACAATCATGTATGAAGTACTTCAAAAACAGCTGTATTTCATAAGAGTTGGATGGAAGTTGAAATCACATGACTTACAGTATGTGTTTCAAAGGTTGGCTTGTTCAGAATAATATTTTAAATAATAATGTAATAATGTAAATTATATACATTCAGGGCCAAAAGTGAAAAATGAGTGAGTTTTATTGTTTGCTTTGCTTTGCTTTCTTTAATCTGATGATTTCTGATGTAAAAACTCTACACTACTACAAGAAAAATGGTCAAAGTTGTATGGTCGCGGTGCTTTTCCCCGACTAATAGTACTGTAGCAGTAAATGCTCACCGTCGGAAAATACAAGCAGTAACCAGCCTTTTACTGAGTGTACTTTCCATTCTGAACATTTGTTGCTGGAAAAAATGTAAAAATGAAAAACAAAAAAACAAAAAAACAAAAATATTGTACATGTTATCCTCATTGCTTCCCCTGTCACCTTCAACTGATTCTCAAACAATCCTCTCCTTGCTCTCTCCTTTGAAAACATTGGAATAAAAACAGTGCTGAATAAAAGGCTCTTTCTCAGATACGACTCCTGTCTCTTTAATTGCCTCAGTGTTAATTTTGTCTATATTATCGCATTTCATCCCATTAGTCCATGTCTCCACACCAACTTCCCTACACATTTCTTACACTGTGTGGGGACAAATTTAAAATTGACAGATATCCTGATTTTAAATCTTAGATTGAGTCTAGCTACAGAAGTGTTGGATCCTGTAATTTCTACACTGCAACTCGTTACATGTTTCTCTCCTCTCTTCCTAGTAAAAGCTTGCCATTAAAAAACTTTGCATCTCCAGTTTTTGATCCAGGCTTTCCATTACACTTTTCTCCAATCCCAAACCAAGAAACCACATTGTGACATCAGGAGTTTGTTTTTTGGATATTGAAAGCTCCAACCAGAGCTACAGAAAACCTACAAATGTTTTTTACACACTGAGTTTTTTACACACATATATATCTAACAAAGTGATACCTGGCCCTAACACCCTCAAATCCTCTGAGCATGCAATAAATACAGTATCAAAAGAAGCCTTTAAAGAGGGATAATTGGGCTGTACTAATTATCTAGCAGCAGAGGGTGCTGTGAGCCAAAGCTGTCCAACATATAGGAAACCAGAACTGATTTTCAAGCTTAGACATCTTTTTGTAAGACCATGTCTGATCTGAATGTATGACAGATCAGATGAGCAACAGGGGCAACATATGGGCTCATCCCCCATGCCTTTCCTGCACTATTTATGGCACACAGCCTTTGTATTTTCACTCTTATACCGGATCTCCCTTCTTTAGTTCCGACTTAGCGCAGCTGATCCCAGAGACATAAAGGCACCATGCCCTCATCTCTTACCAGTCAGCGAGATCAAAACCACCGGGGTGCAAGATTAGCCCTCACACCCACTGCTACCCCCCAACACACCACCCATCCAATCCCAACTCCAGGAATATACATACATGTCCCATGCAGAAGCTCATGCACACACACATGTCAATCAAGTGCCTATTGTAAGGGTATCAACCCTTTGAACATAAGATGCCAAGTAGAGTCTCTCTTTCTTTCCTCTCATCCGCTCTCTGTCTCTCTTTTAATTCTCCACAGCTGAGGGGACACATGGCACTGATCCCTTGAGGAAGCCCAAGGTCAGACTAGGGGCACAGACGTTAAGAGTGGAGGCCTGCTTCAGTATCCAGTATCACGAATTTAGTGTGATACATGTCAGCAATTCAACACATGGGATGCTTCCTAAAGATGCAGGCTGTTAATACTTATTTCTCTCAATACAATGATATCCGAATTGTGTTTTACGGTAGCAATTTTAAAAAGAAAATAAGCTAAAGGGGATGGCAAAATAGACATATACTGCAATTTCATACAGTATAGGAGTGTAAATATAGATTATTTTCAAGTAATCTGCAGATTATTTTCTTGATTCATTGTTTGGTTGATAAGATGGTGTCTTCATATTTCTTGTTTTGTCTGACCAATGATATTCAGATGAATCCTCATTTCTTAGAAGAGAGAATATTTAGCATTCTTGATAGAAAAATCTTGATAGAAAAAAATTGTTAAATTATTAATAGATCATCAAAACAGTTGCAAATTACATTTCGATCAACCGACTAGTCCATTAACTATCTTGTCTGCTAAGAGGCCTGATTATCTCACTGAAGAGTAACCTGGAACATTAAAGCCATCACTGCAAGAGCCATGTGGTTAACCAACATATGGCAAATATAGTGTGGTGTGTCTATAGCATAGTGTGGTGCATTGCTGTAATCAGAGTATTAGGTGTCAAGTAATAATACTGTTGCTTGAATTAAAGATCACAAGTAAAAGTAGAGTAAATTGTGTTAAAATAATTATATTTCAACTGTAGCTACATATACTCAACAAGCGAGCCTGCTAGCCAATATTATTCTAGTAATTATTTAAATCGATGATTGAACACACCCTAATATCTAACAGCCCTTTAAATCAGTGATGCTGTCCGAAATTATAGCCTTTTTCATTAACCTTTACATAGATTGGTTTACAGTTAACTTTAAATATGGACTGAACTGTTGACTATTCTGTAATGCTTGAATTTCAGAATGTAGTTCAAACCTTCATCAGTAATTTAGCAACAGTAGAGCGGCTGATACTAAACAAAGCAATAAAAAGCAACACTAGGACAAGAGTATTTGTTGTTCCAGTTATGTTAACAATAGTTCCTCATGTTCAATCACTTCAACATACAACACACATGTACAGCAGCCAGCACACAGTCAGTAATCAAACTACAGTTATAAGCTGCATCTAACAGGTTTATCTTTTCATTCTGTGTACTGACCTTCTTCTGGTACATTCTGTACTTCCAATAACTGTCATGTCATCGCTGCAAATGTGGTCATTTTAAATTTGTTTGATACATTAAAGGATTAAATGTTTTTTAATGGGTTGAGAAAGCTGAAAACAAAGTTGTTTTTATCTCTTAGCTCATAAAAATTGACACATAGTTCCCAAATGACATATGACACTGTTGGATGTGTATCCAGGGAGGGGGATACCTCCTTCTGTTGCTCTTCCTGAGGTTTCTGTTTTTTTTTAATTAAAGGGTTTTTTGAGGGGTCCCCCCCCCTGTCTGTTAGTCAGTCCACAACTTTGGTCCACAGTGAAATATCTGAACAACTATTTAATGGATTGGTATGAAATGTTGTACAGACATGCATGATCCCCAGGGGATGAATCTTACTGACTTTGGTGATCCTCTGACTTTTTCTGTAGTTCTTTATTAAAATATCTTCACATAGCATTCTTTTATAGCATAGGCATATGCTCTATCATTTAGTTCCACTCACACATGCATGAATGTGTACACCTGCATTCCAGCCATTCCACTATAAGAAGGAGGCTGTATTACAGCGCTGGCACTCCTTTTCTCTGCTTCCTCCTCCTCATTGCAGGAAGTAATTGAACTTGAGCATACGTGCGCGTGCACACACATGCACAATACAAACTAATCACAAACACCATTACTTTGAGTCTGGAGCGTTGTGCTGCAGTTCACACCAGCCTCTAGAGTGCAACACTAGCACATCAGACAGGTCGTCTCTTAATAAAGAAGCTGGATCCTGTGGAGGTCTCACAGCAAGCAGTTGTTACTGTCACTCATTATCATCACAGCCTCCCCCTGCGCACACACACAGGCAAGTTGGAGCCCGTACACACACCCACACATGACCCCAGTATGCACACACACTCACCCACTTTCAGACACACACACAAAAGCACACATGAGCCAAGGAGCATGGGCAGCAGGGTCACCCCAGCGCCATGCTTCATAAAGGGCGCTGTTACAATAGGTTTACTGTTACTCTGACGACTGCCGGGATACAATAGGACTGAATGTACTGGCCCAGTGATTCTCCTTTTCTCTCCATTTTTCACTTGATGACAAGGAAGACAGACTGAGACGGGACAGCATGTTATCAGAGGACGCCCCTGAAGGTGAGTTGGTTCATTGCAGGGTTATTGTATACCTCAATTTCTATGCATAGTAAATATGTAGTGCTGAGAGCTAGATATGTGGGTGAATAATTTATGGACTGCAGAATTTTGATGAGTCTGATACTCTTTTAAATCATGTCATGATATGCTTCAAACACTGCTGACAGATTTATTGTAAGAATCTCCCTGAAACCAAACTGAAAAACAGGTTTTAAATTGAGAATAAAAGTCAAGTTGAAATGTGAGTAACAGTCTGGTGCAACTGTGACACCTTATTAGAACTTACACATCAATTCCAATTGATCATACTCTCATACAGGATACGGAATCACCTTAAAAACAATGAGAGGTTTCAAAAAACGTTTGATTGCATCATTCTGAGATAGTTTGTGAGAGAGATGAAGGCTGGGAAGGTGATGAGGAGAGGAGCAAATCACATGTAGACTGGCAGGCAGAAGATGAGAGGAATTAGGCCAAAGGAGGCAAAAATGAAATGGCACTTTGAGAAGGCTATGCTGGCTAAGGTGGATCAAAATACAGAAAGCTGAGGTGAGATGGGGGGTGATATTGAAAGAAGAAAGGAGGAGAAGAAGAGAGGGGTGAGAGGGATTAGTATAAGAGGAGTGGAGGTGGGGTTTGGTTTGTGGGGTGACAGATGGGACTCACCCAGATCCAGAGGGGTGTGGTGGTGAATTGTGAGATTCCTGTGAGTTGGGATAAGCAGGGATATTTGCACTGCAGCTGTCAATGGTTCAACACCTACGCAGCTCCACCCACCTCCCCCTCGAATTATACACACACACACAACCATGCACATGCATATGCAGCGGTCACAGTAATATTTTATATCTTGTGATAGGCCTGCATGCTTTTCTTCCTTAGTCAATCTTTATATTTGGGAAATGTCTTGGGAGGCCAGAAGACAATGATTCATGTTCTTGTGTAGTTAAATATTAACATATGTTCTGTTATGGTGTCTATTATAGAGGTATACAGGCTGTATTTGCTTATGGTGTGGCCTGTCTGTCTTTTATTATTCCTCCTTGGCCATAGTTCAGTGATTAAGCAGTTTTATTAGAGTGTACCTTACCTGTACTTGCAGTAATGTAGTGAGGAAATAAACAATTTTCTTAGTTATGTGGGCTCCACAACAATCCTATCGGTAAGTAAACTTCTATAGCACCTCTTAAATCCAAAGACACAAGAGATTTGTATAATAGAAATACTGGCTGATATTATTATTTTACTTTAATACTATACTTGCACTACTAATGCACATGCAAGAATGTGATCCCTGGTGTTTCTTATCAAAGGTCTTTAGTTTACTGTTTATTTTGGTATGTTATTTCTATCTATATATCTATATATCTATCTAGTCCTCAGATCCTTTATTTAAGTAAAAGTACCACACAATAACATAAACATACTCCATCACATTCAAAAGTCCTGCAAACTTCTAGTTTAGTTCAAATACATAAGTATCTATGGCAATATGTACTTAATGTATCAAAGGTAAAAAGGTTCTGTAGAAAAGATTTATTGTTGCATGATAAGATTGCTATTATTGATGCATTAATGTGTAAGCGGCATTTTACTGTTGGTCAAGGTGGAGGTAGTTTTAACTACTACAGGCAGGTTGTTTAGTCCAGAGGTTCCCAACCTAAGGTACAGGCCCCTCCAAAAGCATGAATCTGACAGGTCATTTTTTTTTTTTGTTGAAATGCCGGATAATTTTACCTCTTTGGTCTTCAAGCTGACATAACTGCTTTTAATGGGCCATACTTAAAAGAGGGAACCACTGGTTTAATCTTTAACACATTGTATTTTATACTGTAAAATTCATAATCTGGAAAGTAACTAGCTGTTAAATAGTAGTAGATTAGAAGTAGGATATGGGATTAAATATAAATACTTATGTACTCAAAGGTAGAGTACCTGAGTAATTGCACTGTGCTTTTCTCCACTGCACTAGTCTGGTACTACGCATCACTACTACACTCAGGCCTATTGATATTTCCTTTTTTTGGTGTTCATATTTTTAAAGTTCTGAATATGACTAAAGGTTGTGGGAACCAACCTGATTCATTATCAGACAGTTAAGGTTGGGAAACAAATGATTTACCACGTTAGCATATGGGTTTGATTCCTCGTCGCGCCCGCCTCTCACCTGGACGGAAGTGAACATAGAAGGCAGGCGGCGCAGGTAAGGGCAGCCTCTCACCTCCTCCCTCTCCACCTCGCAGCGCTCGCTCCTCTAGTCTACTTTCGGGTTGAAGGCAAGGAGACGTGCCGCTGGATATGTTTCACTCCTGTAAATATGAGACAACTTGAAATCTTCTTCTTCTGTTTCCTTATAACCAGTAACCTCACGGACTAATGGGGCTTATACTGCTGAGCCTGATTCTCCGGTACTGGATCAACACCGTGGAGGGTAAGAACCTCGACTTAAAAAATCAAGGGCAAGACGTTTATAATGTGCAAATAAACATTTACTCCAGAACAGACAATAAATGCTGTGCTGGTATTTATGACCAGTTAACATGTTTTATTGTCTTTTTTATTTTTTTTATTATTAACTGTAGGCTACTTTATTATACTAGTTAAACGACTTATACATGTTAATAAATGTATTAAATCTCATTTTATTTTCATTTTATCAGGACAAAAAAACTTATACATACACTTTTGAAAATTCAGATCTCTTCCCTAGAGAGTTGTTCCCTTCAGTTGTTGCAGGAAACTGTGATCAGTATTGACATGCTGACTGTAAATGTGCACTGTGTTCATGTGCACTGCAGGATCATGTTCAGCTGGCAGCGCTTTGACTTGTGATGAGTGTCTGCAGCTCAGTTCTCAATGTGCCTGGTGCACACAGGAGGTAAGCAGCCAGGGGTTTGCATGTATGAAACCACGTTATGTAATTAAAAAATGTTTGATTTTTGGGCCCAGATGAGCAAAATGGTGTTGCTTCTTTGGATGTCTGCACCTGGTGATTACAGCATGCTATAAAACAATCTCAGTCTTCCATCAGATAACAGCACAACATGTGACTTTTTACTTCATCTCTCAGAATTTCACAGACTGGTTTTCGGTTAGTGAAAGATGTGACACACTGGATATCTTATTAGAAAAGGGATGTGCCAGTGGCCAGCTGGAGTTCCCTGTTTCCAAAGGCCAAATCCTGCAGGATCTCCCACTCGGGAAGAAGACGGGGAACGTTAACAGCACTCAGATCTCCCCACAGAAAATGGCACTAAAGCTGCGACCTGGTACGCAACCCAGCGCGTTTTGATTTGATGATCTGCTTTCAAAAGTTGTTTCCTTATTTTCAGACAGAAGTAAGGTGTTGATTTTGTTTTTGCACAGGCAGTCAGGTGACTTTCCAGGTCAAGATTCAACACACAGAGGACTATCCTGTGGACATCTACTACCTGATGGACCTGTCAGCATCCATGTTTGATGATTTGGAGAAAATTAAAGACTTGGGCTCCACTCTGTCTAAAGAGATGGCCAACCTCACGAGTAAATTTCGAATGGGTTTTGGCTCTTTTGTGGAGAAACCCCTCCTGCCCTTCATCAAGATCACGGAAGCAGATATATCCAACCCCTGCAGGTATATAATAAATATGAAAACATGACAAAACAAAATCTTCTTTTCTGATCTGTGTTCAAGGTTGGAAATTTCAGCAGTGTCATTTGATATCTTAGAGAATCTTATTTTTCAGATATTTGTTTTTGACTTGTGCTCTGTTGCAGCCATGTAGGCGCAACCTGCCTGCCAACGTTTGGATATAAACACGTCTTGTCTCTGACGAGCAGCACTGACAAGTTCAACGAGATAATCGCAATGCAGCGTGTATCTGCAAATATTGATGTGCCAGAATGTGGCTTTGATGCCGTCATGCAGGCAGCTGTTTGTGGGGTAAGATTTTGTTTTTCAGATTTCCAAAAGATGTGAACTTAGGGTGTTGGTCTTTGATTCTGTCTAGTCATCATTGTTTAATGTAAAAAAGGAGCATGAGCAACACAATGTGTCTCCTGATAGGACAAGATAGGCTGGAGGAATGACTCGATGCGTTTGCTGGTGTTTGTCAGTGATGCTGACTCACACTTTGGGATGGACAGTAAGATGGCCGGCATTGTGATTCCCAACGATGGGCATTGTCACCTGGATGTCAACAACGAATACTCCATGTCCACAGTGCAGGTACATCCACAGACATTATTTTCTTACATGTTATGTTATGTACAGTATCATGTTTTGTAATCATTTCAAAAAATATTTTATTTATTTGAACCCATGACCCCATGACTTTCATTTCCTGAGTCATTTTAGCGTCAGTTGGAATGAATCATCACTGCCTCACAGCACATTAACTATTTATATTTCACCATGTTTTTCTAGGAGTATCCAACTCTTGGTCAGCTGATTGATAAGGTGGTGGAGAACAACATCTTACTGATATTTGCTGTGACAGAAGAACAGAAACACAACTATAAGGTTACAGCTTTTTTCCATAGATGTATTCATCTTGTCAGTAGAATAACTCCAAACTAGAGAACCAAAAAAATGCAAGTGTTTACTGAGGTCTGCATATTTATTCATGGTGCTGCATTCTCATTGAACCTGTTAGAACTAGTCCTCTTCCCTGCTCTTTTGCGTACCTTTCTTTCCTTCCGGGAGCCAAGTCTGCCCTCATTGGTAACAGTGACTTTGCTGTCTATCTGTTTTTTTCCTCATAGAACTATGCAAATCTCATACCTGGCGCCACTGTTGGAGTCCTGGCGAAAGATTCGCGGAACATCCTGGAGCTGATTGTAACAGCATACAAAGTAAATAAACAGTCTTGGTGATCTGGATGTGCGGGTAGGCTCTGCGTGTGCAGGCGCTGGTCATAAGAGTAAAACTGAAAACACCTGCCACTATAAGAGCAGTACGACAGTGTTAACGTTGATTTAATTAAGTTCAATCAAGTTATTGGACATGAAATGTTTTTGTCAAATCACATACATATGAACGTAAAGCAGGCATGAATTAACCCTTTGTACATCTTATTTTTTACATCACAACAAATGGACAATATCTCTGCCATCTCTGCTTTCTCCTCTTTCATTTGTTTTTCCCTCTACCACCGGGTACTTTGCATCAACATGTTTAACAGCAAGTCTCTGCTTGTCCCAGCTGTTTGATCTCCTCTCCCCTTTGACTCTGACTTGGTCTTACCCCACTCTCCCTCTATTTCCCTCCATCTGCCTACCTCTTGCACTCTGTGTCCTTTTGTAAATCCCCCCTGGCAGCAGTGAGTGGTGGCGAGTCCTCTAATTACTTCATCAGTTACGTCGTTGACACCCACTTTTAGTCTCTGCCACGTTAACCACACTGCAGAGAGGACAGATCACGCTGATTGTAGATAGTTGTGGCTCTTAAGGGAAATAAAAAATAAAGAGAGAGATATTTAGTTATAGACAACCGATGATTAGTATTTATACTTACCTGCATTTTTGGATTAAAGTTTGTTGCTTAGTGGATATATGTTTCAGCCACCTCACTTTAAATACCCTGCAACATATTTACTGAATAACAGCCCTTCTTTTTCAATCTTTTTTACCTGCTTTACCTTAATCCATCTTCAAATTGGGTGTATCCCATAAATACTGCCCCTGTTTTCTCCTCCTTAGCAACCCTGAAGACACAGTAAAATTACAGGCCTATGGGAAACACACAATTAAGTCTCTGTTAGCACCCAGACAGTCCGTCAGAGAGTTCATTAGTCAGTCAAACACAGTCTTTCTTCCAGCTGAGGTTAGCTGTCGTTCTTTTCTCAGGTGCTTTGTACAGCACACCTGGGATGATGACTCACCAAACAAGAGAGCACTAGATAGTGGGTTTCAAACAGTCTCAGCACGCTATGGGTGAAAGTGTAGTTCCAGTGTAAGTCCTGGAAATCCCACTTCATGATAATTAAAGTCAGTATATTGATTTGATTGTTGGGTCTTAGTGATTTTTGCTATTTTGGAGAGGAAAACCTTTTGTTCAGTACCACATATGTGATGTCAATTGCATTTCCATACAAAGTGCTGATATATTTATTTCCCTTTTACAGGAACTGCGATCAGAGATCGAACTGGAGGTCCTCGGAGACACAGAAGAGCTCCAGATGTCCTTTACAGCCATTTGCCCAAATGGATCCGTCCTCCCAGATCTAAAACAATGCTCCAACATCAAACCTGGAGAGACGGTCAGTTGTTTTGCTCTTAATTGCTCTCTCTCTGTATTTGTATAGCATCTTTTGAACTGACAAACTTATAAGACAGTAGAATGATAGGAACTATAAAATAATTGGACACACCAAAAATAAAAACATAGAGATATGAGATTATAATTAAATTAAATTAAAATGATAAAAAAAATTAAGCTGTAGTAGCTTCATTTATTTTATCGTTTTATTTTATCTATCTTTATAGAGAAAAACAATAAAAGACGAAAATCACCTGATAATCATAAGGCACTCTAGCAAAGACCAGGCTGAAAAGGAAGACTTTAAGGGAATGTTTAAAGATATAAGCACGTTTGGCTCCTGAGTGAAAAGCTACAGCTTGAAAGGTTTTTGTTCCAAACCTAGGATGAACTAACGTGTAACAGAATTTATTTGTGGTCCTAGTCAGAGTACTGAATGTATTCGGCCTGATTAATGACTTCTGGGTCAACCAGATAGGATTACAACGTAATAGTCAGTGTTTCTTAGAAAGAGAAATGGTCGCACTTCAGCTATATTTTTCAGATTATAAATAAATATAATTTGTTGATAATGATTCACTACATTCTGTAAGCCTTCATGTTCAGTTTTAAGTCAATGATAACACCAGGGTTTCCTGCCTGTTGGCCAGGTTTAAGTCCTAGTAAATACATTTTCTCCCTCCCATGAGCCTTGGCACCTCTAATTAGTAGTTCAGTTTCATACTTTTTGAGACATAAAAGAGCATCAGTTGGTACTGTGGGATCAGGAGACATCACCACATAAAGTTGTATGTGCTCTCTATTTTATCTTAAGCTGCAATGATTAGTTGATTAATCAAACATCAGAAAATTATGGGAAACTAGTTTGATAATGGAATTATCTTTTTAGTAATTTTCCATGCAAAATGTCAAACATTGTCATATTCCAACTTCTCAGATGTGATGATTTGCTGCTTGTCTTTATCTTATATGATAGTAAACTGAATCTCTCTTGGTTGTTTGTGACTGCAGAAAGCAATTTAATGACATCACCACTTGGTGAAATAATATAACTTTGTTGGAAATAATAATTCATATTTCTTTCTGTTTTCTGATATATCATAGATAAAATGAATTATTAATTAACAATGATTAAAATAATCCTCAGTTGCAGCCTTCCTTTTTTTTCTCTTTGGTTTAACTGGATGATTTTGGTGAATTAAAATAAAAAAGTTGGTGTTATCATTTATATTAATAGGTGAGTTGATGTATTTTTTCATTTTAAAAACATCTATAATATGATCACTCATACAAAGTTTCATTTTTTAAATAGGCTAAATAAATTCCTAAAACAGCTGGGCACTTTAGGTTTGTTATGTGTCAAACCTAGGAGGACTAAATTGAGTAAAAGTGCAATTGGTACAGGACTATTTTCAGATGTGGAGTAATACAAATTTGGTGCTCTAGGAGCATTTATGGCTGCAGAATGGTTTGTGTGGGAAGGATTAAAAATGAACTACAGTGCCCATGTTCTTCACAATGAGTATGTCACATCAATGTGGCTTGTTGATGTATTTCAAATAGATTCCGGACAACAATGGAGCTCTGTAGCACAGATGAATAGGCTTTGTCAGGCTTTGGTTACACAGGCTAAACTTGTTTAGGATACATTTAAGAGTTGTTAAATTTAGAAATTGTACTTCTTTGCTCTTCAGGTAGTATTCAATGTGTCTGTGGCGCTCCCACGATGCCTGTCAGGAGTTCGGCACTTCTCCCTCAAACCAGTGGGCTTACAGGACAGCTTGGAGGTGGAACTGGAGTCTCTTTGCTCGTGTGACTGCCGGCAGCTTCGTGAAGCAAACAGCAGCCAGTGCATCGAGGGCCAGGGGTCTTTTCAGTGCGGCGCGTGTGTGTGCCAGCCAGGGTTCCTCGGATCGGAGTGTGAATGCAATGAGGAAAGCGCTTTGTTGAGTAACTGCCTGGCAAACAATGAGTCAGAGATATGCAGTGGTCAGGGGCAGTGCTATTGCGGACAGTGTGTGTGTCATGCATCCAGCTTTGGACGCATATACGGACCTTACTGCGAGTGTGACAATTACTCCTGTGTTCGCTTCCGTGGGGAGCTCTGTGGAGGTGAGTGATGTATGAATCTTATACATTATTTATGTGTTTTTGCCATTGAGCCTGTTGCTTCAGTGACTTTGTGTTTGTAGGCCACGGAGTGTGTGACTGTGGGGAGTGTCACTGTGAAAGCGGTTGGAGGGGGGAGTATTGTAACTGCAGCGCCAGCACCGAGGCGTGCACATCAGAGGATGGCACTGTCTGTAGCGGCCGAGGGAGATGCGAGTGTGGCCACTGCGCCTGCTCTGTACCTGGGGCATCTGGGGACAAATGTGAGAAGTGCCCAACGTGTGGAGACGCCTGTAGCTCTGCAAGGTGAGAACCCTTTCATGCCATCAGCTCTTGAATGAGGATGTCATGTTTTTGTGTGTAATTGTTGTTTCTGTACCTGAAAGATATAAGATGTTGTCCCCCTTGCGCCATATGATCTGTCTGTTCTTTTGAGTACAGGCATATTAAGTTCTTGTTCCCTTGTTCGTATGTGTCTACACCTTCCATGTGACATCAAAAGACATCTAATGTCTCCAACACAGCACTAAGAGATTTCCTTTCTCCACTGTAAAGCAGCTGTCAGGGCTAGTGCTATTTGATACCACTGTTATAGGGGAGACTGGTGATAGGGAGTGAGTGAAGCCTTGGGAAAACTGTGATAAGTGACCAACACTGTAAATTCTTTGTTCTCACTGTGTCAGGGAATGAAGGTTAATTCAACTTAAGCTTCCCAAGAGGTGCTGTATCATCTCTAAGGAAAGCCTGACCTTTTGTTTTCTTCACTTGTTTTAACACCAGGACCTGTGTAGAGTGCCATCTGGAAGATAAGGACGATGGCGAGTTGTGCGATCAAAAGTGCAGCGTCCCAAAAATTTCCATCAACACAACGGCAGGTAAAGGATTCCCCAATCTATCCGTTCTAGCACTGATTTAAATAATATGACGCACTTATTGCTTATGAGAGCTGTAGGGCTGGATCATATGATTCTAATCATCATCAAGCCATTAGTATGGATATTTTCTAACATGGAGATATATCACAATATCTTAGTGCATACAAAATCAAAGGTTTTGTATCTGTCACACAAAAACTTAAATCACCATTTTTGTTAATTGTCAGCTTTAAAATGTCTGTAGTTGTTTTTCAAAAGGTTTAATAACCTGAAAAGGTAAATAATTTGTTCAACCATTGGAGAAGGGTGAGAGCATGCATTTAATAGTACCCATCTACTTTCCAAAGCATGCCATATGTTTTTAGATTGATTTTATGCCTTGCCACGTATTACAGTTCATGTCAGTACAGTGTGAAAATCAACTGCCTGACACTTGAAACTTGCTTCAGATACGCCATGTATCACAGGGAATATTTTGTTCCCTTCATGTAACATTAACATCCAATGGACTTTTGGGAGAGGACTGTTTTGAAAATTCTGGTGGGAACCTTCAGAATCTAAAGAAATGGTGTCCGTGTTGACTTACTGCTTGCCATCCAGGTTTAGTTTTCTGATAACATACAGTAGCTGAGGAATGCCCAGCCTTTTCTCAGCCAAAACTGGATGTCAGGGTTTCTTGGAAGAGATTAACAAGGAAAAAAATTTCAAAACAGTCCTTGACTCACATACTGTGACTCACTCACAGCAAAAAAAAGGTCATTAAATCTTCTCTCCGAAGAATCATCAAACTGGCAGGTTTCAAATGTATGCAAGTTCATATGGTATGAAACATACAAAATAAGCAGTAAAGTAACGCTTATAGGTCCAATGTGTAACATTCAGGAGGATCTATCGACAGAAATGGAATATAATATGCATAAATATGTGTTTATTGATGTATAATCACCTAAATAGGAATTGTTATGCTTTTCTTAGCTTAGAATGAGCCATTTATATCCGCTGCTCTATCCCTATAGAATAAAGAATATTTTTTTCTACAGGATGTGCACTAACAGTAACACTATATAAATGTACGATAACTCCATATGCACCCCGCCTACTAGCATGACCTCTTACTTGTGCTGTAAAATGCTTGTTGTTGTAGGAGTTGGTCATCTCAGCTCAGTTTTTTGATATTGGTATCAACATAAGAGCATGCTAAGTTTCCCCATGGGTCAGAGATTTGGAGGAATGCTGACCTGCATCGACTCCGGTGTCTCTCTGAAGCCTGCAAACCCCCCCGTCTCTAACATAACACCATCCATGTCCATTCAGGCAGCACTGGACAATGGGGAACATATTATTTACCTTGTCGTACAGGCAGAGCTATTGTAGCACATGTGAATAGCCAAAGGACCTCGTCTTCCTTTATAGAAGAGATTATTTTAAACCTGCTTTACTTGTGCAAGCTGAGAGGTATATCTGATTATCACAGAGGATTTTCAGGCTTCAGATGTGAAATACAATGGCGCGGTCCACACACACACACACGCACACACACCAGATTGTAGTCTTTGATATGGAAATCACACTGACAGCACAACAGAGGCGAGTATATCCTTTTACATTCTCAGCACAATGTTGAAAGGGAAGATGATATACAATGGATTCATGCCTTCCTTATGGATATGTATGTTCCCATTTCCTCGCAGATTATGACAAGAGCTCTTCTATGCAATGCACGCTGATGACTGAGAATGAGTGCTGGATCTCATTTAATGTGGTAGGAGGTGAAACGGGGACCACTGCCTATAATCTCCAGATTTATGGTAAGCTTTACAACAACATAGAAAACAGATCAAAAGCAAGTCGTGGTGTGAGTCTCATCTCATCCTCTGTCCTGTCCCAGGTTGCCCAGAGCCTCCAAACATCCCCATGATTATTCTGGGGGTCTCCCTCTCCGTTGTGTGTATTGGCATGATCCTGCTGGCTGTGTGGAAGGTGCTGGTGTCGGTCCACGACCGTAAAGAGGTGGCCAAGTTTGAGGCTGAGAGGTCAAAGGCAAAATGGCAGTCGGTAAGATTTTCAATTGGCTTAAATGATAAGGCTGGCAATGTTATATGTTTTTCTTGTTGTCAATAAATCTATTGAAGACAGCAAAACCATCAATGAATTGATCCTGCTGAATAAATGTTATCTTTATTCTTCTACTTTGCCTCACAGTTTGAAAGTGTATATGCCCTAACCCCATCCAAATTCTATGTATTGTATATCTTTAGTCACTCACATTACTTAACCTTTATATGATGCTGTGAAATATCAGAAAGGTGTAAGATGTACATTGTCTTATAATTTCAAGCTGCAAGGTGACCCACTCAATGACGGGTTTCTACAGTTTATCAGATTGAAAGCGTTTTTTAGAGCACATCACGTCTTCTATAACTGGAAGTTGATAATTAAAGTCATCAAGACACTTTTTATAGTTGGGACCGTAGTTTCCTTCCCATAAAGAATATATATATTATATATATGAAACACATTACTGAGCCATATTGTTGCACAGGGTGACATGTCCCCTTACTATGATGAACATGGGCTCTGTGTTTTATTTTGATTCCACTTTCACTGTCCTGTTGCTGTAAATACGCACTGGACCAAAGCAAAAAATAGTCTCTGACCAAAGCACTTTTTACTTCTGTTTGAGTAATGTTTACTAAAAACGGGAATGATTTAGGAAACGAGAAGCCTTTAAAAAAATGTAACTGTGACCTGTTTTTAAGATCTGCGTCTTCAGTAGGAAGGTATGGGCTTGGGACTACAGGCTGGTATTTAGGGAAGGACTAATACATTGTTGGTTTTAGTCTTTTAATGGCAACTGTTGACAGTAACACAAATACAAAATATCCTGGTATAAATTTTCTGGTGAAAATATTTTAATGATCCATCCTGTTCCTTTAGAGTAATTGTGACTGCTTCTTATGTCTTTGTCTTTTCTTTGTCTCTCCTCAGGGGACCAACCCTCTGTTCAAAAGCTCGACATCTACGTTCAAAAATGTGACTTATAAGAACACACAGAGAGAAAGGACTATTACACAGGATCACTACTGATGATATACTGGAGGCAATGCAAGCCAACATCTGAGTGCACTTAAGTGTGTGTGTGTGTGTGTGTGTGTGTGTGTGTGTGTGTGTGTGCTTCCTTAGGCTACATTTGGGAACAAAAGCTGTGTCCCCAATTTGGAAACAGATGATTTTTGGTTCAGTTGTTAAGCTTAGGTTATGGTTAGGTAAGAACTGGTTATGGTTAGGTTAGGTTAAGTCTCTAAGGAAATGAATGTAAGTCTATGCAATGTGTATGTTTGTGTGTGTGTGTGTGTGTGTGTGTGTGTGTGTGTGTGTGTGTGTGTGTGTGTGTGAAACAGAGAGATGGAGAGAATTTTTTGTACTAGAACTTGTTTTTGTACGAATCTGTGTTGATTCAGAGATGTTGTAACACAACACTGAACAACACATGATGTATTTGCTGCTGTTTACTGTCGATGTACTAAACACTGCACTTTCCTGTTGCATGATCCTACAAACTTTAACACATTTATGTCTACTGTAACGTGCAGCTTGGAAAAGAGGAGTCTACACTACGAGTGGTCTACTACTGAAAAAATCTTTGTTTTATTATAATGAATGTAAATATATAGGTGGATGATTATGATTTTTTAAAATATTGTATTTGTCTGTTGTTTTATTGTAAAGCAAGGCTGAGCCTTTCAATGTTAATAATTTAGTTTTTTAGTGGCATGGCACATAAATAAAGTTGAATTTTGACTTATTGTTAGCTTTCAAAGTAAATTGTACGCTGCAACACAGTTCTCATCCTCAGATAGATATTGATTAGATTGATCGGATTTGGAGACCAAATCAAAGTTTATTGTATTTACAGTGGGACACTGAACTCTCTGTCTTTCCAGGATAGGGATGGAAAAGTAATAAAGTGCATTTTGCTTAAGAACTACACTGAAGTTCTTGTATTTTACTGGAGTATTTCCATTTTCTAATACTTTTTTTTGGTATGTTGATTACTTGCAAACCTGACTGGAAATGTGCACCAGTAAAGTTCAACAAAAGCCCTGCATTATTACATATTCTTGTGGCCCTGTTCTTGTAGAAGGAGTCTGTGTTAAATCTTTATTATTTTATCTTGAATTGTGCTCACATGGTGCATGTTCCCTAAACAAACCTGGGGTCAGGTAGTATTGAGATTACTGAGAAAAATCTGCGCTGTTTAAAGTATCAAAAGTATAAATTTGAGGTACTTGTACTTCCAGTATTTCCATTTTATGCAACCTTATACTCCTACCCCACAACATTTCAGAGAGAGATATTGTACTTTTTACTCCATTACATTGATCTGACAGCTGTAGGTACTTATTAAGTGCTGATTAAGATTTAAGATCCATGTGATACACTTGATAATGATGATGCAGTACTATAATCAACCCAGTAGTATAAAATTGGCTTCAAACTACAATGTTCATGTGCTCTAACTAAATAATAGAATATACTATAATAAAACACTCTGAAATGAGCCCTTCTGCATAGAGTACTTTTATCTTTAATTCAAGTTTTGCTGGTATTACTCATGTACTTTTAAGTAATTCTGAGTTCTGGACTTTGAAAGGGAGTATTTGTAGACTATAAGTAAAATATCTGAACACTTCTTCCATCATTGACTGACTAGAGGGATTTTTATTTTGATGAACTGAAACGTGCTGTCCAGGCTACTTTTGTCCCAGATGAATGGATGAATTCTATACATTCATTATATGATATGTGTGTCAAATATTAATTTCCACTGGTGGAAGTAACTAAATATATAAATACTATTTTCTGCTACTTTATACTTCTACTCTATCACTATTCAGAGGCAAATATTGAACTTTTTGCCCCTCTGCATCCATTTGATAACTATAATAATATAACCAACAAATAAAATATGTATTATTATAGGTTGATATAAGAATATAGGGTAAATATACACACTAGGAGTGAATAAAGTAGTTAAAATTAGCCCCATCTTTACCATCTGCAACATTATAGTGATGTACACATTATGCACCAACAATCCAGTGTTATATTATTATGAATTAGGCCATTCTGCATAATGAGTAGAGGTACTACTTTTACTTTAGTTACTTTAAGTATATGTTGATGCTTGGGCAGTCTACTCTCCAAATTAAGTAAACATTTGAATGCATGACCTTTACTTGTAACAAAGTACTTCCACACTGTGGTATCACTAGTTTTACTATAGTACCACAGCTAATTTGTAAAGTAGGCTAACCACTACCTATAGCTGTCAAATAAATGTAGCGAAGTAAAAAGTGCACTATTGCAATGGAAGCGCAGGGCCCACCTATCTATGCATCTTTGCATTGTGTTTGTTAATCCACTGAAGGCCTTTCGCTCAGTGTAAACCAGGGGTTTTTTATGGCTCTGTCCCAGTGAAAACAGTCCGGTGGAGCGGTAGGAATGCAGCTTCCAGACCGGAGAGCAGCAGCAGCTCCTCCGTCAGACGTGACGTCGCTGGTCCCCCGCTGAAAAACTTCACTCCGACAAAGTTTTTCTTCTATGAGGGGAAAAAACAACGAGCCTAAAATACTCCCTCTGATCAGGAGCCTCGGAATGTGCGGACATTGGCGCTTCAGCACTGCATCCCGCCGTCGAAATGTTAATACAGTTGTTTCGTTTAGTCGACTCCGTGGCTGTTGTGGCGACTATTTGTGCAACAGTGTTGCTGGCGAAAGGCTGCCTGTGTGTCACCGAGGAGGACGATGAGGTCCTGGAGAAAAAGCAGCTCATGGAGTTTTACAGTAAGTTGGATCTTCTGGCTGCAGCTGATCTTTTTTCTTAAAAATGTCAATGACCTCCTGCAAAATAAGTCCACTCTACATCTTTTTGGTGGGGTTTTGTCTTTAACATGGTGGATAATTATATAACTATACTGAACTCTGTGTGTGTGTGTGTGTGTGGGGAGGGCAGAATAATCATTACAGCATGTTTTCATTGTGACTGAAGTTAAACTGTACCATAGTTTCCTGGGGACCCACCTAAACTTTCTTCAAGTCCCCCCCAAGAAGCCTCTGGACCACAGTTTGAGCCCCACTGCTGCAACTTGGCTCACATTACCAACAGTGATTTTTATTTTGATGAATTGAATTGTGCTGTCCCAGCTGAATGGATATTTGAAAGTAAACAGTATAAAGCATCATAAAGTTAAATCTGAATACATATGCAGATCCGGCTTGAATGAACAGCAATCTGGTTAATGTGATACTATTTGCAATGGAGCTTAAATGATTAATTGACCAGTAATCAGTGGAAATTGATGAAAAATTCACTGTTTCCAGATTCTCATATGTGAGAACGTCACCTTGTGCTGAGACAATGTGAGAAAAGATTAGTTAGATTAGTCAAACATAAAAATAATTATTTGTGTCGCTTATCATCGGGATACTCATTACACCTTCTTTCCCGCTCTCAATACACATTTTCATGTTGTGTGTGTATATTAGTGTTACAGTATAGTCCATGCTAGTATAAACACAGAGGAAGAAAATCCGAACACTGAAAATAACCTCCTCCTCCTCCTTTTAGAACAATCTTGCCAACTATGTAAATTCAACACAAGCGTTGTGAACATTTCATTTAGATCTAGTAACACACACACTGTTGTTCTTGAATAAAGAGATAATTCTTCCAGCTGTTTTCATCACTGACATTTATATACATTCAGTATACATGCTCTGTTTTGCTATGAGTAGGCCTATCCAGACCTTTATCTATGTTGGACGACAAAAAGTTATCTCAGGCCTTCATCCAGATTCAATACAGCTCCATTTCTGTGGAGAAACACTCACGCTAGACAGATCTATCTATCCTCCCCCTCTAAGTTACCCACTCATTTCTTCCCCCATATGTCTCTCATCCCCCTCCCCTCATTTCCTCCACTTCTGCTCATCTCATCTTCTTCCTCCTTGTCTTCTCTCATCCATCTCTTTCCAGAAAAGGGTCTGTTCATCCTGGAGAGCGAGCCACTGAAACGCTGCATCACAGTGGATCGCTCTAACCTGGTGCTGGAGGACTGCGAGCGGCCCACGCGCCGCATGCTGTGGAAGTGGGTTTCCCGACATCGGCTCTTCAATTTGGGCACCAGCACGTGCCTCGGCCTCAACATCTCGGACACGACGCAGCCCCTCGGCACGTTCGAGTGTGACATGGCCCTCCCTGTGCTGTGGTGGCGTTGCAGTGGAAACACGCTGTACGGAGCGTCCCAGTGGAAGGTGGCTGTGGCTGGACGTTTGGTGGTGGTAAAGAAAAACTCCTATCATGAGTGGAAAAGGTACAACACCCCCAGGGAGGGGCCCTGCTCATATCCCTATGAAGGTAAATACCTAAAATATCCTGCATATTTTCTGAATTATAACCTAACAGCTCTTTGGTGACATTTGACACATTTAAACAACAGCATTATCTTTTTTTGCACTGGACATTTGTCATTTTGGATGTGTTTTATTTGCAGATATCCACACTTTGTTGGGAAATGCACGCGGCATGCCCTGCGCTTTTCCCTTTAGATACAACAACAAATGGTACTCTGAGTGCACGACTGAGGGTCGTGAGGACCATCTGCCGTGGTGTGCGACCACCACTCGCTATGATGAGGCTGAAAGATGGGGCTTCTGTCCCATGCAAGGTAAAACTGGACACAAACACACCAGAATATGAAAAGAACTTGAGTAAATACACTACATTATTGGCCTATCGCTACCATATTAATATCATATCAGTATTGGTGTTATCTGATATGTGCAAATAAGAAAACTGTTGCCGAAAATACAGAAATAATGCTTGTGTTTATCCAGCAGAGTGCACTGTGATTTACTCTACTGTGGCAAGCAGCACAGAGTAAGAGAGAAGAAGAAGCTCTCAGTAATGTCAAGTAGAACTGAACAATGTAGATGTGAAATTATTTTAAATGTTAAAGAATATTTAACTCAATTTTCCACTCTAAAATCGCTATAATTGTAATGCTCCCACAAATGATGAAGGTCCATAATTAAATGTTTTTTTGCTTATTAGGGTCTAAATCAGCAATTTTGTTCTCAATCAGATCAAACAATAGTGAAATTCTTGCCATTTTTATCTGACTCAACTGGCCATTGTTGCTCCATGCTCACATTAATGTCACCTCAGTGTTTCCTCTATGTTGATTTTGGAGCGGTGTCCCGCCACTGTTAAATTTCTGCCGTCACGGTATCAGAAATGGGGCAGACGCACAATGTAGTCACGGTTGCCTTTTAAATGATCCTGTTGTTTGGACAGGCCTGCCCCCACTGCTAAAAAAAATTCTAGAGGAAACACTGCACCTTGATGCAAAGACTACTACCTACACCTGGAGACGTGTGCGTACCGACTCATGTCACCTTCTCATCTTCCTGCTGCCTTTTTTAATTTGTGACTTTATTCACAGATTCCAGTTGTGAGCGTTTCTGGGAGTCAAACCAGGAGCTGCAAGCATGTTACCAGTTCAACCTGTACACCATCCTAACTTGGAGTCAGGCGCTGTCAACCTGCCAGGCGCAAGGTGGAAATCTGCTCAGCATCACCAGCCTGGCAGAGTACAGGTACATCAGAGGTAGGCATCTGGTAGAAAAAACATACAGGCACCATAAAGCTGCTGAATGAAACATCCATCATGCACTGTACCTGCATTATATCCACAAACAGTGCCCTAGAACAACATTACACTAGTATGAGTAGTATCTGATGTTGATATTTTTCTTGCTCAATGGGACAGTAGGACTATACACATTCTGCATTTTTACTGGCTCAGAAAAGATCCTTTTCAGCTATTTCATATCTTGTTCTGTCACTCTGTATTTATTTTATCACCACCTTCTATCCTGTTTATTTTTAAATCCCACAGCGATAGATGAGACTGACACCTCATCT